GATGCCTCCTGATGTACGAGTGGCCGTATTTCTTTACTATTAGATTTCTGCAGGTCAGGTTTAGAGCAGACTGAGGGGAAAACTATTCAGTTACAGATGTAGTGTATTATACCACTACTGGGGCGGAGTTAATCTTAGATTCTACAAAAGTGGTTGAAAATCGAAGAGGGGAAAAAAAATAATCAAATGTGCATTTTCAATCCTACATTCTCCTCTCTCTCGTCTCTATCTCTCTCTCTCGTCTACTTCTCGCTCTCTCTCTCTCTCTCTCTCTCTCTCTCTCTCCTTCTGCTCTCGAACCGTGCAGTGTGTGTGAGAGGATGTAGTGTGTGTGTGTGTACTTCATTTGTGTGTGTGTGTTGTGTGTGTGGTAGTGTGAGATGTGTATGTATGTGTGTGGGTGTGATATGAGTACATGTTGTGTGTTGGTGAGTGTAGATGATATGTGTACTGAAGTGTATGGTATGTGTGTGAGTGTGTATGTGATGTGTGTGTGTGTGTATTATTCGGTGATGTGTGTGTGTGGATGGAGATGGATGTGTGTGATGTGTGTGTGTGTGTGTTGTGTGTTGTGTGTGTGTGTGTGTGAATGTGTGTGGTGGATGGTGTGTGGTGAAAAGCAAGATTGATAGAGAGGCCAGAATTCCATACAAGACTTTTTATGGAGATGCATTGCTTCTCTAATCCATATATGATATGCCTGATTTGCTAGAAGAAAATACATCATTTGCTTTCAGTGGAATGGGTGCTAAGTGAAATTCTTGAGTCCAGCCCAAGCTGAAAAGAAGAGATTTGCATGGCTAAAGAATAACTGAATGGTGTTGGACGCAGGTGTTATAGTACGTTGAAATGAAAGGATGGTTAAGATTTTTTTTCTCTTTACCTCAAAAGTTGAATTTTTGGATTTCAAGAGAAGAGGTTAGTTTTTTAAAAAGAAGTCTTGAGATCTTAATTGTTTCTTAAATCATGAGGTTTTAGACCACCTAAGGAATTAAGTAGTATAAAAATGATTTGCCCGAAGTACTAAAAAGAAGAGAAAAGAATTAGATCAGATAATTAGTAATATATATATGATAATTTACGTTACTTAACACACAATATAGAGAAACAGAAAAGATAATAAAACAGATACATTTTAACAATACAATGGATGAAAATTATATGTCACTATTTTAAGCGTCAAGTATGAAACTATGTATCCAATTTAATCTGTTGCAGGTTTGACCCCATGGAATTTCTTGTGTTCTCTAAGAAGAAAGGCAGTGTCTTTAGGAACTGAATATGTTAATGGGAAAGTAACAGGATTGGAACATCATAGCTTAGATGACATAATCACATAAGCTCTAAAAAATAATCACAGAAGTAACTGGCACATCAGTATTACTACAAAATCTCACACTGTGCTAGGGAGAGGTCATTTGGATAAGAATTACTGCTTTAGGTTAATTTTTAGATAGATATGTAACATAAATTTCTTTTAAAACTTTGATAATGGCTAAACATGAAACGATATAGTGTTTCCAAGATCATTGTTTCTCACTGTCTCTCTTTTTTTCTAACCATGGCAGATTACTCTCCCAGATGGTGAAAAGCGAAACATCAGGTTTTCAATATGTGTGGTGGCCGCTGGAGCATGGTCAGGCGAAGTTGGCCGATTGGTTGGCATTGGAAAAGGAACAGGAATCATGGGTGTCCCAATACCTGTTGAACCTAGGTTTGTAGAATCCAAAAAATTGAAGCCAATTACCATAATACAAGGTGGAGCATATATTGGTTTGTCTGCCCATAGATTTCATGTTTTAGTAATTAATGAGCAGCATTTTTAGCATAAAGTGAGAAATTCTACATATAATCATACTACCAAGCATAAAAGTATCAATGATTAGTACACAGTCAGATTTGAACGAGACAAAATTTAGCTTCATTAGAAGTGTAACATAGATTCAACCACTGCCAGAGCTCGTTTTTACAGATATTATGAAAATTGTCAATCAGGATTGATAGTCATATGATATTTACACATTATTTCATGTCAATTTAAGTGGAGTTTCTTATTTTCAGAAAGCGTTACGTGTATTGTGTGCATGCTCCAGATGGCCCAGGGTTAGACAGCCCGCTACTTATTGACCCAAATGGAACATACTTCCGAAGAGAAGGGTTGGGAGGCTTATACCTTTGTGGCCAGTCACCCACAGATGAATGTGAACCCTCTATCGAGAACTTGGATGTGGATTACGACTTTTTTGAGTCAAATGTTTGGCCAACTATTGCTAACAGAGTACCTTCATTTGAAAACTTGAAGGTGTGTATTTTGTAGTGACGACTCATTGTCTTTTTTTATCCTAATATATATCAGTTTCAGATCTTGAGTAAGAAGATGCTAAAGCCATCCATTCATTGTAGTGGAAATTTAATGTCAGTCCCTTTAAAAGTCAAATTCCAAATGAGGATCCTTAGTAAAATGATCCTTTGGAGAAAATTTTCCATTGGAAATTATATCATCTATATGCGGCAAATAAGTTATAATCAATATTTTTATTTACAGCTACAAAGTTCTTGGGCAGGATACTATGACTACAACACCTTTGATCAGAATGGTATAATTGGACTCCACCCAATCTTTACAAATATGTTCATTGCTACCGGATTTAGTGGACATGGTAAGTGTTCGTTTTTAATTGCATGTTAAATTATTTTTCTTCCCCTTTTAATTGTTTTAAACATGACAAGATTGGCTAATACAAGTATCAATATTTTCCAGTTGTGCATAGATTCCTTAGGCTATTCTCCTGTTTAATCTAATGAACTTCACAGTACACTTTGTGGGGATGTGTGATAGAAACAAGCTCACTCTCTGACAGGAGAATCATTTCATTTAATACCTGATCCCAGACACGGGTGTTGGATAATAGTTTAGACCTTAATATATATACTAAAAGGAAGAAAATATATGTAAGGTACATTAATTGACTGCTTGTTATTAGCTATGGTTCTAATCAGTTTTCTGGTTATCCTTTTGTAGGACTGACAGAGAATCATCTCAGTAATTTTTTTCGAACAATGATGGGTGTTTGTCGTCTGCTACTGGGAACATTAATCTATGAAGATGTCTCTAATACCAACATCTGCCTACAGGTATACAGCAAGCTGCAGGCGTCGGTCGAGCAGTGATGGAAAGTATCCTACATGGGGAGTACCAGACCATTAACTTGGAGAGGTTTGGGTTTGAGCGAGTCCTAACCAATGAGCCCCTTTATGAGCAAAATATTGTTTGACACTACGACAATCATAGGGATATTAGGAGGACGAAAGCCATTAGCTGATTTCTGTAAAGTAAACATGTCTGACTGATAATTTTGTAGAAAGAGGTTGAAATGAAGTATAATGAAAACTGCCAATTTTATGCAATTGTAATGTTTTCATAAGATGAATAAATATATGAAATTGTACAAAATGCTGTATCATATGTTTTGTACATATTTGTAGTTGAAATTAGGGTGCAGAGAAAAGGAATAAACAGTTTTCTAGTTTTAAACTTTCAGTAATACTAAGTATTTGTTAAATGTTAATGTCACTATATTGTTTTTTATAAGTATAGTTTCAGTATTTTATAAATATTGCCACTTTTGGCTCCCTTGCTTTTTTTATATAACTGGTAATATATTGGCCTGTAAATCTGTATAATTGTTAATAAAGTTGTTAAGTTCTTTATATTAAATTTATTTTAACAAGTATTTTTCTTTTCCCTTTTGTACTGAAAATTAAGACAATAGTCAGAAAACTACTACTGTGGATATCTTATTCAACAGAACAGTACGAGTTGTTATCTACAAATAATATTGGAATTACCCTTTCAGTATAAGGAATATTCTCTAATGGAAAAGATGCCCTTGAATATATTGCCTACATGTTAATTTGTAGACTATTTCTCTTAAACCTTCAGCATCCTACTTTGTTATTTTATTTCAACTTTTTTATCTTTATGTAAAATTTGCATATTCATACAGTCCTTCTTACTATATACTTGGGTAGGCTACAAATAAAACAATTCCTACAGGAAGATCAATGTTTTTATAAGTATTATCTTTTCTTTTCTCTCACAAAATAGACTGTAAAGATATAAGTTTATATGAATCCTTAAAGCTGCTGTAGACAAAACAGCTACACAATCATCTCCCTTGGAAGACTTTACTTGAGAGCAAAATCTGGATGCAGCAAATGGAAGACTTACAGTAGATGCAGATCTGTCAACAAGAGAAAAATTATTAGCTTCTAAGTAAAACAAATTGAAATATATCCAACATTTTTTGATGTGATGCACAATACTATTTTTTTAAACATTAAATAATACTGGTCAGTATTGAATTATTCATTTATTGATAATGCACTTATCAATAAATGAAGAACTTGGTGGACATATATATTTTTTTCTCTCCATTTAAATGAAGTGGAGCATTACGTACATTCCTGAGAAGGGAGAGTCACTCTTCTGGCAAGCTCGTTCAGTTCCTCAGGTTTGCAAGGTCTGGGATAATAGTCATGTAGATCTCAATGCCACGAAGGAATATCTTCTCATTGAGGAACTCATTGTGGTCGTGCAGTAGGATTGGCGTTTTATTCATGGGGGAAAACCCAAGCGCTGGGATGCCAAGCTGAGGGTGAATCAGATTGCTATTTATTTATTCATTTTCAGGTATCATGTTCATGTATATGCATTTCATCAAAAGATATTTCAAGTCAAGAGAATGTTACATTGTATAACATCAACATAGGATTGTTAAGATTGATGTGTAAAAAAGCTTTGAAAATGATAAAGCTAAAGTCATCTTTAACAACTATAAAAATGTAAACTAACTGCCATGAAAATAATGTCTGCATCCTACATACAGAAAAAAGAAAAGAAAAGAAAAAATATATAACAGTATGGAAATCATAAATGAAAATAATACTTTCAGTTTCTTTGATGTTCTTACTGCTATAAAGCTGAGTGAGAGTGAGTG